ACGTGTGCAGGATGGCCCTCCTCCTATACATCATCCATTGTCGTGGAGGTGCCTTTATCGTTGAACAACCAGGATCGTCCGTGCTCTGGCGACATCCACGACTGAGAGCCCTCTCCCGCCTCATCAAGGCTTGCAGTATATTGACCATTTATCTGAAGGATTTGGGCGGTGTTGGGTTCTGCTTGTCGTGCTGTTGTTAATCAGCTTTGCCTCTTTGCTTTTGGCTGCTGGCCAGGTGTATCGCCAGTTGAAGACCAGGCAGGGGCCATCAAAGGCCCCCCAATTGGTGAAGAAGACCATATCTAGCTCTGGAAAACGATCGTATACAGGATGCAAAAAAAACCTCAAAGCCAGTCAGCCACTCATTCTATGTTTAAAAACTTTCCTTTTGACCTATGCATGCATGTTTGTCACCATATGATTGGTTCGTCTAAATTTGGACACGTTACTCCTCCGGCACCCTGCGGCTCAGGATCTACCCATGCGGCTTTGCCCTCAAGCTGGCTTCCATCTACCCGGACTTGATCGCTGAGCTGCCAACGCTGGACACATATCCAGGCTTAGCGCGTGCAAACCATTTGTACAATTTTTTTTGTAATGCTCGAAAGAGTCCTAAAGAAGTTTTCGCGCGTTCAAGTGTTGACGCATGTTCTCAACCCCGCGCAGGACATCAGCCCACTGGATCTTCTGAATCAAATGGCTGTGACACCGGATGTCTATTTTAGCGACATGTGGGACGATGCTAACATGGGTGAGGCTCTTCAGTACTTACTGAAGAGGGATCGCACGTGGTCCCCGGTAGGTGAGAGGGCGGTTTCTTTAGTTCCTTGGGAGAGATTTGTATATATGATCGACGGACGCCGCTGATCAGCTGGGATTTGCGCAGTCTCCCATGGAACTGCGGTATTGGGGTGCACTTTTGGCGCACTTTTGCCAAAAAGATGCAAAAAGCATCGAAATTTGAACTTTTCATGGGGGCCGAACAGTGGCAGAAAAACACAGAAAGTGGCGGAAAAAGGCGACCACTTTGTCCTGATTTAGAATTTAAGGTTTTTGAATGGAATTTGCGCACTTGCGCAATTGTCGCACGCCGGAATTCCGCACTTCCGCACTTTCCACATGTTTGCAACTGTTTCCTTGAGTGCAACCATTTTGATCGAGCCCAGCTTAGCTGTACCAGGTCGCAGCCAAGCATGAGCTTGGATACCTTAAAGGCGGCGCAGTCCTTCTTGCATGACCAGGTCACGCAAGTCAAAAGTGAGCACGACCTGGAAGAGATGATCGAGGCGGGGACCAATGATTGTCAGTGAATTGGCACAACTCGCACGCGCAGGCCTACAAGCGTCAGCTGCACACCATGGAGGTCCCGGGGTCAAGCTTGGAGGAGGTGGACGCATCATTCAAAACCACTAGTGCTCCCAAGCCTTGGGGTGACAAGCATGCGGAGCCAGAGGATGATACGATCCCTGGTACTGAAGCAGAGGCGGCGGCGATGTTGCGAGGGGAGCACCTTGACCCTGAGGCCTCACCTACTACTACTGCAACCGCGGTTGAAACCTCAGAGGTTGAAGCGACGGAAACCGATGAAGTTGATGATGCAACTGGCGGGAGCCCGCGTTCAAGTGCTGGAGAGCCACAAGTGGCTTCCATGGACCCCTACACCATCGTGGACTCTGTGGACCCTAGATGTTCATGCGGTCATGGCTGTGTGTGTTGAATGCTTCTTATCTCACTTATCCGCTACATTGTTTTTCTGCTGTGCAGTGTAATTTTGCCTATAGGACTCTGATGCCGAGCTTACGGACTTCTTCCAGAACTTTGTCATCGAAGGGGACAAGACAGCGGGCGTCAAACTTGAGGCGCTTGTTACAACATGCAACCTGTTTCAATCAATTCTTTGTTTAAAAACATGCAAGACCATATTGTCCTTCAAGGTACCCGTGGATCCTAAGTCCCTGGCTGCTCCAAAATCCGAGGGCATCGCGCTGGCCTCGGCAAGCGTGGGTTGAGACATGTTGAGACATTACTGGGTGTGAACGTGAACCCACCTGCAGGGGAAGAGCGTCAGTGCCCTTATGAGCCAGCTCAGAAGGATCTGCACACCAAAACCTACATCGGGTAAGCTTGAAGTACCGGCTGCTGTCAGTGAGAAATTCAAACGCAAAGGTAGTGGTCGTGATGAGTTGCTGAAGCTCTTGGAGCAGTGCGGTGGTGACAAGGCTCGTTTCATCATATGCCCCAACACTAACTAGTGCAGATCATGATCACACCCTCAAGTTGTATATAGCTCAAGTTTGTACAGGACAAATTCGTGAAGGTGGTCACCAAACGCTTTCGGAGGTCGCGAAAGGGAAGCTACAAGATTATTGCTGGGTTTTACACAGAACAACAAATGAAAGAAGAACTGAAGTTCACCCCGTCTGGTTCTCAATTCTTGTGTAAACCATAGACCCTGCGTTGGAAATTTGCTCCAATATTGAAGTGCATTTCCCAATGTTCATGGCGGCTAAGGGCGCGTATCAAGGGTGTCAAACAGTATTGCCAGAGTGCTGGCCGCAAACCAACACACATCGAGAAAGACAAGTACGAGAAGGGCGTTCTCAAGTACTGGGTGGAGCAGAACTTAGTGGCCTCTTTCGAGGCGGCTGAGGAGGAAGAGTCCATGGAGGAACAAGTCGACGTGAAAACATCAGCCATCAAGAGATTGACTCCAGGGACAGGTCCGCCATCGGGCTCTAACATGCTTCGACCGGCTTTGCGCGCCAAACCCGCGGTGAAGGATGATGGTGACAACACCGCCGATGAAGATGAGGGTTCCGACCCTGGGAGTGAGGCTGAGGTCCCAGGCCCAAAGTCAAAGCGCGAGACCAAGAAGGCCAAGACCGCAAAGCCCGATGAGCCTGGTGGAGGACGGCGCGTGCCACAGTCATGAGTATATTTCATCAGCGCTGGATTCGCAGTTTGTGTAGGATCCTGATGATGTCATGCCCTACTTGTCTGAACTACTCAAAGAGCAGTCAAAGCTCTTAGAAGTGGAACGCAAGCTCAAGGACTGTTTGATTCTACTTATACTTGCTTTAAAAAGATCAATCTAGTTGCAACAATCCTTCAAGCGATTCTTCAAGTGTATTTGGCAAAACAATGGTTTGCGCAGGGCTGCACTCATGAGGATGCGGCAACGTCGCACCCTCAGCGATTGAAGAGTCGACCTGCATTCAGCTCAAACGCATGTGCTCTTAGGTCTTTGAAATCCATCAGCCAGTACAGGAAGGACATGCTGAAGCTCCATGATGAGCTTGCTGAACTCAAAACCAGTTTTGACGCCAGCAAATCGACGGATGAATCCAGCAAGCCAGGGACTGAGTTATCAGATTTACTTACAATTTTTTCCTGAAACCTTCAATCACTTCTCCATCCAAGGACGGCCGACTTGATCCGCGCCAAGTTTACAGAGATCGAGAAACAGCTCTTGACCTAGAAATCCTGTGGTGATCCTACAGCTTTTTTCTGTGCTCAACACACTTGAGTCAGGACCAACAGGGCCCAGGTGGAATCCAACAAGGTGAAAAAGCCCTATCCTCAGCCTATCTATTTTCTTGGTTGACAACACCGCCACTCATCCCCAACTCAGGACCGTGCTGAAGCAGGCCCTGAAGGACAAACGGGAGCAGGAGAAGTCACCTGGAGCTACTGAGAAGGGCTCGAAGCCGCCAGCAAAACTCAAGAAAGACAAGAAAGAAAAGAAAGTGAAAAGCAAAAAGGACAAGAAATAGGTTGCCGAGCCTAAATGGTCAAAGACCAATTTGGGATTTGTTCGGGGGTTGTAGCATGTCGCGAAGGGTTTCACTAGCTTAGACTATCCAAAGGCAAGTGGATTTTTGTCGTTGGATTGTTTCTGCGCCCTTCGCCTGCATGCGCATGGGGTCACAATAGTTGATCGGAACACGGTCTGAAGGTAGCCGTGAGCTCAAAGTTTCATGGTGGAAGGGATGAACAAAGATCTGCGCAAGATTTGCTTTTCTGCACCCAACAGCTTTTCTGCACCCAACAGTTTCATGTCCCTATAGACGTTCAAAACCCCCAGCTCCGCTGTTGTTTGGTGCCCGGGCAGGTGAGCCATCACCGTCGACGTCGCTCACGCCTGTAGCCAAAGCGGTTGCGAAGGCTATCACTGCAGGTGTAACCTTTAATGGACCAATTTCTAATTTTTATGTTTCATGTGGCTTGCACATTGCCCGCATTTAAATGGTGGTTGAAAACAAACACAATGTTTTGGTCAAGCTCTTCCCATCTCTTTCCTCTTTGAGGTACCTAACCGCATCACCTGCCAGTTGACTTCGGCCATTTTTGAAGAACACCAGGAAATTTGTGGGGGAAGCAAGGTGACCATGAAGAGCGCACGGCTCCTCAACCATTTACAGAAACTGCGAAAGAGCGGACACGAGAGTGATCCTAAGCTTTTGGAGGCGCAGGGCCTTCAAGCCGATGTAAAGCTATCCTTTGTGGATCTCAATCTCGCGGAGTTGCGCCCCGTGCTTCGGCTAGATGACTTTTTTCACATGCTGGCTAAAGAAGACCGGTTGGGGGTGCTCACAGGGGGCCACGACCTATGCACAGCCATTGATCTGTTTTGGAGCCGATACTCCAAAGAAGATCCCGCCATGGTTGCAAAAATCAAAGCGGAGAAAGGGTCTATGTCACATTGTTTACCAATGGCATTGTACGGTGACGAAGGACTATCCCACAAGAAGAGCCAGTTCCTCGTGTTTGCGACTCAACCTGTGATCGGATTCGGGACGGCCTTCACGCAACATGCGACCGACCTCGGTGTAAACATGATGGGCAACAGCTCAGTCACAAGATTTTTGTACACTGTCATGAAATCAAACATGTACAGCCGATCGCCGAAAGTCTTCGAGTCCCTTTTGGAAGTGTTTTCGGACCATTGCCTACAGCTCTACAATGATGGCATCGAAGTTTGGCATTCTGGGTATGGGAAAATGGTGAGGCTGTACCCGACTTTTGTATTTGCAAAAGGCGATTGGCCTTGGTTGAAGAAGGTAGGTTTTTTGGTGCGGTCACATCACCAAAGTATCGCTGCCCCGCAAAGATCAAAGGGTTTGTGTCATTTATGCCTAGCCGGTACGGCACAGTACGCTGACTGGAGCAACCCTGATGGATCTTGGAAGTGCGATGACTCATTATTGCGGCCAACCCCACCATGGAGTCGGGAGTCGCCCTTAACTACGAGATTGTGCAAGTCTGATGATATTTGTGGTAAGACTTGGCGGTATCGCCCGGATATCTTTCACACCTTGCACAAAGGTGTGCTGGCAGAGCTTGCTGGCTCTGGCTTGGTTCCTTCGATGACCAACTGTTAAGGCAAGATTTTTGTTTTTTGTGCTTTGATGGACGCTTTGATGGAGGCATGTTTTTTGTTTTTTGGTAGGGTTCTCCGACCAATTCGCAGGTGGTTCTCACAGACCTGAACCTGGACGGTTGCGGTGGAGACATTCCTGTGCGTCTCCACCAGATACATGTACAGTTGAAAACGTGGTGCAGCCACAACAAGGTTCAGCTACATGTCAACGACTTGACCAGAACCATTTTGCATTTCGATGCCGACTCTGACTTTCCGACGGGGTCACCTAGGTCTTGTTCCAATCATTTTTGATTTCCCACCGGAAATTCGATTTATGTTGAAATAGAATCTATACGAAGCGAGGCATATTATATGAACATATACCTATGTAATTATAAACTGTTTTGTTTGCTGTGGTTTCGACGCACCATAAACCACTCAGGGGATGGTTCAAAGGTGCGGACACGACAGCTGTTTGCAAGTATTTAGAGCACAAGTTCCACCAAACCCTGGAGTCAGAGCACAGCGACTATGTGGAGAGCATTTACATGGCTCTGTCCGCAGGCAACAACTTTTTGAGGTTGCTGTACAGTGCTGACCTGTTCATGCCCCAGTCCCTGACACAACGTGTGGCAGCATGTGGGCGGCAATTGCTGTCACAGTATTTAAGGGCCGCTAGCATAGCGCACTCGCTTTCAAAGACCCGCTTTAAACTTATACCAAAGTTTCACTTATTTTGCCATATCGTCATGAACCTGGAGGCCACTTCCGATTCAAAGAATCGAAGCTTTTGCATCAACCCTCTGGCATTTTCATGCCAGCTAGATGAAGATCTGGTGGGGAGGGCTTCGGGCATGTCTAGGACATGTTCAATTCGAAGGGTTCATGAGCAAACGATCAGGAAATACCTGGTGGCAGTACGACTGAACCTCCCGAACCATGGTCAGAAACGACCTCTGAGTTCTGAGCCAGCAGAGAGGCACGGTCCCAAACCGAAACGCCCGCGCTGACCCGTGAGAGAAAGGAAGCGGCGTCAGCGGCAAACGAAACCAACAAACGCCACGCTGTGTTTTGTACACGTGCACACATGCCACAGTACATGCGCAAACTTATAATGCGAATATGTATAAAATAAAAATATGCGTTTTTGTTCAGGTTCAGGTGGCTCAAGTCTTGGATCTATAGATTTTTTATCAGATCCATCCCTCCAGTATAGCTTTAAGGAGCAGGACACGAAGTGCAATTGCAGTGGGGTTCCCTTGGACGGATACTGTCTCGAGAGTGGTCCACTGACCAAGCTTTCATTCAGGGCAAAGCGCATCCCAAATAACATTGCCCAAGAAAACATAAAACCTGCAGAAACAAGGCTTTCCAGCCAAAAGGTGTCACAGTGGCTGGTTTCATTTATTTCTGCAACTGCGCATTCCCAGGTGGAGGTGGCCAAAGTGTGTACTGCCGTCGAAAATGAAGGTGGAGGTCACCTGGTAGTGGTAGTGCAAGCGTAGTGGCCACTTGCTAGTGCAGATGTAGTGCGGGAAGCAGCTTGTGGGAGGTGGCTTGAGAACTGTGGCCTGAGAACTGGTCACTTGCCGGTAGAAATGTAGTGCAAGCTTGAGAATTGGCTAGTTGGTAGTACAAATGTAGCGGCTTCTGGCAGCTGGCCTCAAGGAAGCGGGTTCTGGGAGCTGTGGCCTCATCAGAACTGGCGACTTGGTAGTGCAAATGTGTGCGGGAAGAATCTACCAGCTGTGGCCTCAGAAGTGGCAGCTGGCAGCTTTGTAGCGCAGCAGCGCAAATGCAGTGCGGCGTGCGTGTGTCCAAGCTACGAGTACGTTTGTGATATCGCTGCGCCGTGCGGTGAGTCCGTGCCATTGGGGGAAGGAAAGCACGTTGTTCGGGATCGTTGGCGCCCACGACGCTTAAAGCTGTTGTATCTAGTCTGTGGTGCACCTTGTGGCCAAATTACATCTGTAATGTTGCTGTGCCATGCAGCTTTGCGCGGCCTCGGTGGAAAGTGCGTTTGCGTGAATCCGTGCCACAGGGGGAAGGAAACCGTGTTGGTGTAAATTCGTGTAAATTCGGCTTGCCGCTGGGGAGCGGGATGATTGGCGGCGTCGGCGAGGCTTGGTGTTATATTGTTGTATATACTGTGGTGCACGGGGTGGCCAAATTACGTCTGTGATGCCGCTGAGGGAGCGGAGTGATTGGCGGTGTCTACGGGGTCTACGGTGCTTAATGTGACATTGTTTCTAGATTCTAATCTGTGGCGGGCCAAATTACGTCTGTGATGTTGCTGTTCCATGCCACTGGGGGAAGGAAAACATGTTGGTGATGTCCACAAAGCTTGGTATCAGCATCGATGAGGTCCTCATCACTATGATCACCGCCACCATCATCATCCTCCACCTCCTCCTCCTCAGCATCATTACCAACATCATCTTCAATCGTCATCGTCGTCGTTGCCTTTTGTCATCTCCCCCCGGCTATGCTTTCGGGCCGGCCTGTGGTCTAGGTTTTCTTTTTGCGAGTCTGTGGAACGTGTCTAGTGGAACGTATATAATGACACGTTTGTTTCTGATGCAGGAAGGCAGGGCGCTGTCGCGGAAGGACTTAGATGCAGCCAAGGAGCACAATTTGGCTTTTGGTCCTTTGTTGTCCTGTTTCAAGGTTAACGGTTAACGACTGTTGTTTAAATTTAGAGCGCCCAGGACACCATCCGAAAGCTGCGTCTTCGCAGATGGACACCTCCAGAGTGATGTGGACGTTTTTGCCAGTCTTCCATGACGCTGTTGCCGCGCACACACCCACAGTGCATATAAAGTGCACTGGATGGGTAGATGATGGTGGTTTATTTGGTATGCTTTTGAATTTTCTGCAAACTTTCATAATTCAAGAGTGGCTGCTAAAGTTGCTGTGCTGGCTCAACACTGCGCCCACATGGCCGCGGGGCCCACACAGGCATTGGGAACCCAATGCGACCATAAGAGCTAGCGGCGCAAGATGACAATCAAAGAGGAGTGCGGCTGCCCCCGAGTGCCACCGCAGACTCAGCCCACCCTTCCCACAGACATGGTTCATGTATTTTTGTGTAGACAGGACCTGATGCACGTCCCAAGTGTGAGAACAACCTTGGCACCTGCGGCGTGCTTGTCCTTCCCACACCACAGGGAAATTCTTGACGGGTACAGGCCAGGTAGCTCCTGCTCCTGCTCCTCCTCCTGCTGCTGCTATTACTGTGGTTATGATTTCGCATCGCAACACTTGACATATCTGCATACCTACATACGCACGTGCAGGTAGCAAGTTTCTCTCTTATATAAGTTTATCTTCAAATGCACCTGACCACAGTGAAACTCGTAGCATGTTCAGGCAGACCCAACCACTCGTACAAAAACAGCAGAAGACAAACTGTTTTTTGGTGGTTTCATCAAACTGTGCTTCAGTTTCATGGCCTTCGATGGCAGATCAATTTGGCGACGAGCGCCAGTTGAAATCCAAGTACATTCCACGGCGAGCAGATCGAAAACCTGAACCTGCTTTTGCCAGTGAGAGGGTTTGCAGTGACTCAACATTTGCTTCTGCTAATGGTTGGGTGGCCGCAGCTCCCCGGGCTGACGCTTCGCCCGCTTCCAGCGAGAGTGCTCTGAAGTCATCGTACATATCCAGGAGGCAGTATCCAAAGGAAGCCCATTGTGTTCCGCTGAACGTTATGGACTTCAACCAAGGCTCCATTTGCGAAGGTGCTGCTGAACATGCCAGCCTCAATAAAAGGGGTTCAATACATGGAGAGGGGAACTGTCAGACATGGACTGCAGACGAGTTGGCAAGAGTCTCTCTAGTGCGGAGTGAGAGGCTACTTATTGATGATGCTCAGCAATGCCAAACTTTCGCTGAGACAGTCTTTTTGAATATCTACGATTTGGGCGACAGCAAGGCAATTCACAAGCTGAATGTCGTCTTGAAACCATTTGGTGGTGGTGCATTTCATGCAGCCGTTCAACTTTTTGATCAGGAATGGAGCTTTGGCGGCCTGGGCGGCAAGCATGCCAACGAAGACGATGGTTTTGAAAGCGGCATTTGGAGCTGTTCACCTCAGATGTGCCAACAGCACACATTTCGGGAAAGCATTGCCTTGGGGACTACTACCTTGTCGTACATTGAAGTGCTGCGGGTTCTGTGCGACATTTCTGCAGATTGGCCGATGAATGGCTATGACCTTCTCCGTCGAAACTGTTGCCACTTTTGCGACCAGTTTTGCCGGTTGCTCGGGGTGGGACCGCTCCCAGATTGGGTGTTGAATTTGGCAAATGTAGGAGCCGCTTTAGATGATGGTTTTGCCCACGTGGCAGCTAAGGTGCGCTTGGCAATGTCCACAGCAAACAAGTTGAAACTCCGCCCTCGGCTAGGATAATTTTGTGTTGGCAAAGAGTACTTTTGTGGGAGCAGCGCAGTAAAAACTGCACACTGCATTAGATCTGCCAGTGCCAGTCAATATACAATGTATGTATGTATGTAATGTAATGTAATGTAATGTAATGTAATGTATTAATGTAATGTAATGTAGTAATGTAGTAATGTATTAATGTATGTATGTATTTTTTCTCCTAGAGGGGCTCTTTTGCCTCTGCAGGTCACAGGCCGTTTTGGCCAACTAGCAGCGCTGCTAGAAGTAGTCAACCTCGAAGCTGCCAGTGATCTCCTCGTCATTGGTTTGGCTTTCTTCTTCGGGGTCCTCCGAGCTGTCCGCATGCTGGCCTTGTGGTGGCCCAGTCATTGGCTGGACAGGTGTTCTGCGAATGCTCTGTTCTTCGTCTTGTTGGCTGGGTATCATGGCCTGTGGCTTGTCTGCATTGTCTTCTCTGACCGTGAGTGGCGTGAAGAAATGCAGCCATTTCGGCCTGGGTCCAGGAGTGGACATTGGCGTGGCCGTGTCCGGTTGAGATCCAGCCTTCTCCCCTTCAGCAAGCGTCAGTGGAGTAGGCTTGAAGAAGGTGTGGATAGGCGGTGAACCCTTGGTGCCGGCTCCTCGACATTCTTTGAGGAAGTTGGCTGAGGTGATGATGCGCCGATTGCTGTCAAGATGCAGCTGCAGGCCACAAAGGATGCAGCTGATCTTCTGGCCTTTTTGCGAAAGGTGGTGACTGGGATGGCCATTGTGCGCGCCATCGAATGGGCAATCCAGGCATGGTCCCTGGATGTAGTCATTGAAGGCCTGTTCATTGACCCTTTTGTGAACGCTGGTGCCACACTTGGTGCATTTGAGGTATCCTTTGGTTTCCTCAAAATGGTGCTGGTTTGGTGCTGGGGCCGTGTTGACCTGGGCTTGATGACCTGTACTCGGGTCAGCTTCTTTGTTGGCTTGGGAGCCTCCTGCCCTGGGTCTGGACAAGCACTTTCGGCAAGCTGTTGGGTGCATGTTTCAGCCAAGCGGTCTTCAAGTTGTTGGGCCGTGAGACCCTGGTGCATGCGTGTACCGCAGGCGGTGCAGGCATATCCACTGCGCTGTGGGGCCCATCGGTGGTGTGGTTCCTGCCAGGGCTTGGTGCACTGCTGGATGAGGTCTTTTTTCCGCTGTTTGGTGTGTTTTCCAGGTTGCCGGTCAGCTTTGGTGTGGAGGTAGTGCTGTTTGTCCTGGAAAATCTTCTCAAGCCGTTGTGCTGCCTGGAGGTAGATGGCCTTGTGGTCCCTGTCAAGTGTTGCCTGCCAGTTTGTTTGGCGTCGGTCATGGAGTGCATCAGCCCGCTCCCATGCAGTCAATGCTGCATCTCGCTGACGCCTGCGGAGTTGTGGCTCGTTTCCAGGGGCATCCGGAGTTCTGGTGTTCTTGCTAATGTACAGGACGGTGATGCGGTGGCGGTCCTGGTCTGTGACCTCTGCGAGCAGGTCGGGGTAAGGATGCCTGTGGGGTGGTTTTTGCCAGGCTTCCCAAACTGTGCTGAGCTGCGCAATCACTTTGGCTGGTGTTGTGGTGTGTTTTGCCAAAGCCACTAGGCCTGCAAACAGTGCCCTGCCTTTGGTTTGCTGTCCACTGGCCGCCCCTGTGATGGCGCCGAGGCGCTTCAGTTGCCCCGACGTTTGGGTGAGGCAAAGGCCGAAAACCCAGATCTGGCTTCTGGTGTCGTAGTGATTGGGAGTGGCATCTAGTGTGAAGGCAAAGCCGGCATACTGGTCTGGGCCGATGGGTTGCAGCTCTTTCCAAACTCCATGGCCTTGGTAGGGATGGTCCTGCTGCAAATGCTCTTGGGGTTCAAGTGGTATCCAGCCTTTGGACCACAAGGCTTCTTCTTCTGGATTGGTGATGCGCTCAAGCCATTCTGGTGGGAGTGGCTTGTGTTGCTGAGTTCTGTGCCATTTGCACAGCCATAGCACATGCTTTGCCGTAGCAGGAACGTGACAAATGGGACATTGTTTGGTTCCTTGTGCATCTCGGAAATGGAGTGCTCCCTGAACCCAGGTTTGCATGTGCCTCGATTGTTGTTCTGGAAGCTTGGGTTTGAGGCTGCGGTAGGTGTGCCAGTCGAGCCCTGTGAGCAGGTGTTGATGGTGTGGTCGCCGGCAAATCGGTTTGTGCGCTGGTGTTGTGCCTCAGTGTACAGGAGGTGCTCGATCTGCCACCATTGGTCCGTGATGTGCACTTCAGCAGCTAGCATGAGGTCGGTTGCCGGTCTGGTCCAGTGTAGTAAGTCATGGACATTCCATCCCCATTCCAGATGTATGTATGTATGTATGTATGTATGCATGTATTCTTTAAAGGGAGGTTCTTTTGCTGCACGAGTGCTGGGATCGTTTTGATCCGTGAAGGCCGCCGGCCGCAGGTCTAGAAGTAGTCGACCTCGTAGGGCGCTTCAGCTGTGGCATCCTCCAGACTTGGGTTGGTGTTCATGGCCTCATCTGGTGGCGCCTGCAAGTCGTTTTGCCCTGCTCTGTCGGAGATGGGTCTATCGATCCCCGTGAAGAGTGCTCTAGGCCGCAAAGTACTGGTAGTGGCGTCCTCTTCGTTTGTGCTGGTCTCTGGCTGGCTGCCCGTGGCTCTCACTGGTGTGGCCGTGCTAGTGGAGAGCTGAGTGGGGAAACAGGTTCTCAAGCCAGGGCTTTTCTTGATTGGTGATGCCTGCAGCAGTTGGTCGGCATTGGGAAGTGGTACAGGATCTCTGGTGTCCCTGATGTGCCAGAGCTTGCTTGGCCCAGTCTTGCATTCTCTGAGGCATTCTTTGTTGGACTTCAAGTTGTCTGTACGGCCACTGCCAGGCCAGTTCGGAGGCTTTGAGACATCGAAAAGGGCCCCAGAGGCCCTTGCCTTCGCACTGCAAGGCAGCTTCATCTTGTGCCTGCAGTTGGGCTTCTGTGATTTGATGTTGTATGGTGTGCATCAACAGCTCGGCAGATCGGTCGTCGCGATACTGCTTCCAGTGATGCAGGATGTCGAAGAAGGTATGGGCTGTGGGTGGTCCAACCCATTGTTTTGGTGCATCAAGTGCTGCTCGGAGGAACCCTTTAATGGGCTTGTTGTGACTGGGTGGTGTTTGCAGGGCCAATTGGAGTCTGGCCTTGGGTTGCCCCCAATAGGCAGGTTTGCTTCTGCGCCACAAAGGGGACCGGCAGGCGGTTTGGCTAGTGGTTTGTGTGCAGCCTGTACCCAATAGCCCCTGCCCTGTGGTTGCCATGAGTGCTCTTGGAGTAAATATTGCTCGGTGATGGACACCCAGTCTGCCAGTGACCGTGCTTCTTTGTTGGGTTCGATGTCATAGAGCTGGATTGCCGTGGCTTGTGAAGTGTAAGTGCCCCATGGCCGGAAGCAATGTCCGGTGTGCGTGGTATGGGTGGAAACGGACATGGTTGCCTGTAGACGCGAATGGCCGCGTCGAGCTCAAAGGTCAGAGTGACCAGGGCATGTGGGCGCCAGGGAACTGCCCAGTCTGTTTGCACGGACATGCAACCAGCCAACTGCTTTTGTACCAGTGCGTAGTCCAGAACTGCTCCTGAAAGCAAAGTCTGAGGCGGTGCCACGATC